TGATATGGAGTTTCATTTACATGCAGCACGTAAATCAAGATATGGTTTTATATAGAGATAATAATAATAAAGGCCGAATAAAATAAGGTTGGTCGTCAGATTTATATGCGGTGGTTGAGTTTGTATATTGTTTTTTCTTTCATAGGCTGGATTTTGTTCTTTACTGATCGAAAACCACATGCTTTGATCATAGTATATTGGCCTGGATCTGTTTATCGAAACAAATGATCGGTGTTAATCATTATTTATGTTTCTTTTCTTCCTGTGTGGGATATGTTTTCTTTGGATATCTAAATACAAAACAACAATTTATTTGGTAATTTTCCTTTAAATTAGGTTTTTATAATATAAAAAGTAATCGCAATGATGTTCGTCGTGTTAACTTTATTATTCATCAAAATGGTTTTGCACGTCGAGTCTACTGTCTTTCTCTTTGTTTGATTCGAGAGATTTTTGCTTTGTTTTGGTTTTCATTTTTTTTTATAATTTATTCTTGTTTTGAAATAAGAATATTTAATTAGTTGTTTTGTATCAATTCAAAATTGTTCTTGTTTTTTTTTATAATCGAAATACAGTTAAGATATAAAAAAAAATATTTTATATATGTATTTGACTGGAACATCAACTTTTTTTTTGATAATCCGGAAGTTCACCGGACCTTTGGTCCGACTACATCTCCCAGAGATGGGAAGAAACCCAGTTGAGTGCCCCTCTCCACGCTTGAGTTTGAACCCAGGGTTAACATCAACTAGGCCACCCTTTGGTTAACATCAACTTGTTTGATTCAACAGAAAACACCAAAGAATCCTCGTTGATTAATTTGTACGTATTAGCCCACACTTCTGGCTCTTTCGCTGTAGATATACACACACACATATATATATATATTATTTCGCATAGTGCATGAAGCTCCATATGATGCCAGGTTGTGAAACCAAATTATACCCTAATAGTAACTCCCACATGAACATGTACATGTACATTCATAGTCATCTTATGACTGAAAACCCAATGACCCCCTCCAACGTCCTCCATCTATAAAAACCCTAACACCCTCACCATGTTTTTTTTTTTTTTTGGTAAATGGTAAACTTGTATATATATGTTACTGAAGTACATAAGAGATATTTAAGTTACAGCAACATGAAATCGTCATCAGCCAAATAAAAATTGCAAACGATCAAAATAGCGAAACAAAATATTAAAGAGAAAATGTCCGGAGTGAGAACCGTCAAAAGAGTCGGTAAAGAGGATACTTTACGTCGACTGTAACGTAAAATATCTCTTTAGTTGTTCTCATTGTACCAAAAGGAAACGAAAGATGGGGAATCCCAAAACAACAATGCTTACTTAGCTCGGCCCCTTGCCTTACGACCCCTCTTGACCACTGAGAAGTCTTGCGGGATCTTGGGCGAAACGGCTGCTCGTAAGCGCAGTAAACGCTGAGCTTCCTGCACTAATTCATCCTCAGAATCAAATATGTAGGCTATGAAAAGTCACGGGAGAGTTAGGCGATGAGTCATGATTTATGGGTTGATTAATGGGTAGTGGGGTATTTTGAACGTTCCACATAACATCTACACAAAAAGTCTAGGGTTCTTCTTATTAATATCTATAAATTAAACTCTTTCTAACTTATCAATGGCTTCCAAAGTTGCTCTTGTGATCCTTGTCAATGTCGTCTTCTTCACCACATTGGTGAGTTCCACTTCGGTTCCGTGCCCACCACCACCCCACTCGGACACTTGCCCTAGAGACGCCCTTGGGCTCAATGCGTTGAATCCTGTGAAGGCCTGGCAGTCCAGCTGTTGTGCCCTTATCAAGGATCTCGTCGATCTTCTCTGCACCGCCCTTAGGGCTAATGTTTTGTGCATTAACCTGAACGTTCCGATCTCGTTGAATAACATCTCGTTGAGTCTCGTCCTCAACCACTGTGGGAAGAAGGATCCTTCTGGTTTCCAATGCGCTTAGACTGATCCATTTCTTTTTCTCCTCACAGTTTTTCTTCGTTATCTATTTGATGCATCAGTTTGATCTTATTCGTTCAGGGTTTCATCTTGTCCTTTTCGTACTTTCGTACTTTGCCCTGGCAAACTGTTTCCTCAAATGGTAAGTTGTTTCTCAATGTGTGGTATAACTCAAATCCAGGTTTTTTTTTCAAATGATTTAGTCTTAAGCCTCGTTTCCATGTGTTTCTGGATAACTGAAGTTGTCGCAGGTCCCTCGTAATCCGATGGCTAATTCAGTCACGAAATGTCCAAACACCATATTCTGCATGCGAATACGTCCTGTTATTATTTTTATGCAAAACAAATTTAATAAATAAGAACGAAGAAATGAAACAACATGCGAATATTTTAATTTTTAAAATGATGATATAATCAGCGCCAAAGTTTTTATAGAAAAGAAAATGATAAATTTTTAATTTTTGTAATTTGTTTTTGCCAAATTCAGAGTTTTTTTTATAAAAGACTATAGGTTGAAAGTTTTATATGAAATATTTTAACAAATTTAGAGTTTTTTTTTTTATGGGATTAACCCTATTTGAATTTATCCGCCGATATATGATTACAACGGACGTACATGGCATGACCCTGAATCTCCATAGCTAAATATTTCATTTTTTAATTAAGATCTAATCAAATCGATTTAATTAATTGTCTCCTCCTCTTGGGCATGTGAGATTCGATCACCGAGCGAGTATTCAGCCTGCTGCGAAAACCGATCGATCCCCTTGTGTTTAACCGGAACCATCATCCCCTCGAGTTCCGTAGCCACTTCTTTCATCCTCGGCCTTTCCTCTCCTTTCACTCTCGTGCACCTAACCGCCAACCAAGCCACCTCCGTGAGCTGCCGACGATTCTCTGGCGTCACCACTCGTCCGTCCAGAATTTCGTCTGACCGATTGTTTATCATTGCTGAATCAAAGTGAGATACCAAATGCCTTTCGTGTAGCGGCCGGATAAAGGACAGCCTTTAGGCCTGAAATCAGTTCCATCAGCACAACTCCAAAGCTGTAGACGTCGCTTTTCTCGTTTAAAATGCTGGTTTTGAAGTACTCGGGATCCAAATAGCCGAGAGTGCCTTGCACGAGCGTTGTTAATTGCTCTCTGTCCGCTGGAATCAGCCTCGAAGCCCCAAAGTCTGATACTTTGGCCGAGAGTTTATCGTCCAAGAGAATGTTAGCTGACTTGATATCGCGGTGAATGACTGGAACAGACGCAGACGAGTGGAGATACGACAGAGTCCCAGCCGTTTCCACGGCTATCCTCAGACGGTCTTCCCACGGTAGAATCGACCCGAACTTGGAGCCGTGCAGTTGATAAAAAAGGGTACCGTTGGTAACAAACTCGTAGATTAGCAGAGGAACTTCGGTCTCAAGACAGCAGCCTAAAAGTTTCACCACATTCCTGTGGTTTACTTGTGAAAGAACAATTACCTCGTTGATGAACTGCTCGACTTGGCTTAGGTCTCCAATCCGAGCCTTCTTGATGGCGATTTCCCGGTTATCAGGCAATATCCCTTTATAGACCATTCCTTGGCCTCCTTCACCCAGGATTCTGCTCTCGTGATAACCGTTGGTTGCTTTCTTGATTTCTTCCTCGGTGAAGATCTTGATATCGCCACTTGATGACTGTGTTCCCACAAGTCGTCGCCTCAACATAATACCGCCATTTTGCTCGAAGAATTTCCTTCTTACTTTGATGTCCTTCCGGTGCCTTAGCTCCTGGTTTAGGTAGCAGAGACCAAGCAGGAACACTAAGAATCCGATGGTGGCTCCTGGTTTACAGTCCATTTTTTCCGACAAAAGAAACGTATATGGTCAGATTACCGTATACCAAGAATAAGAGAAGATGGAGAAACTAACTTCACGAAAGAAAATGTCGATAAACATACCAAGAAGAAATACAGTCCATTCATGGGTCTTACTGCAACCCTCTATAGAATGTCTGCCATGGCCTTTCGGGCACTTGCAGTGGAAGCTACCGTTGGTGTTGTGACAGATTCTCGGGCCTAAACAGTTATGCGTACCTTCTGCACACTCATCGATATCTGGCAAGGAAACGACATAGATTCCGTGAACAAAACACTATCAGAGGTAATGATCAAATCAACTGGAAGAAGCAAAAACAATTCAGTACCTTGACAACCATTTGGAAGGTACGGATTCCCGGCATAGCCATCAGAACACTTGCAGGTATAACCAGGTCCATTTCTAAAGTCGACACAATCACTGTTCTGACCGCAGACACTGTTGTTTCCGACTTGGTGGCATGAAAAGTCCCTGATGAACCAATCAAACATCACAGGGAATGCCACAACGCCTCGAAGGTTCTCAAGATCCATGATAGAAAAGTCGAAATATCCATCCTCGACGAGAAAAGCATAGTTACAAGGATTGAAGTTATACACAAAGCTGTGGTTCCTTAAATTTTTGGCAATGGTCTGAAGTGAGTGAGCCCTCCAGGGACACGGGTCTGGCAACAACCATAACCAGAACAAGACCCGTTTTCCATCTTGTCGGCTTTACTCAGTGTCTCTCCTCTCCACCCTTTCGTTCTAACATCTTCCGTCAAAAGGCACTTGGAACTGCAGCCATGAAGTCCGGAATCTTCGAGATACGCGTAAGAGTCACAACCTACTCCAGTGAGTGTGTTCTTATCAGAGAGGGGAAAGGTACCAAACAAAAAGCTGGTGTAGGAATCTGTAGGGCTTCCATAGCGGTCATAGCATCGGTGGGAGGTGTTCACGTTGAGGCGTAGCTCGCCGCTGAGATTAATGTTGAGGACTTGGATTTTGTTTTGCCAGAGGGTTGGCTTGTCAGGGACTTCACAACTTAGACGAAATTTGTCGTTAAGGTAACAGCCTTGTTCTATGCCGAAAGGGTAATCAATGGCGAGACTGCCGCAATGGCTGCTGCATCCGTCTTTGGTCTGGCCTCTCACCTGAAACGCTAACGAAAAACGCAGACACAGACAAGAACAACAGGAGGAGTTTTCTCAAACACATTTTCAACCTCTTATGTTTCTGTTCTTGTGTCTTCACTGTGAGGCATTCTTATCTCCATTTTACTTGGGAAAAAAAAAATTGTAAGTCCAAGTCTTCTCCAGTCGTCAACGTATTGTACACTGCGAGTGCGAGACCGCTTCTGTCTTTGTCACGACCCACATTACATTGCTGAGCATGTTTGTCTGCTTCCATGCAATTTGGACTGCATATTTCATAAAATCCTCTCCTTTTCACCTAAAAAACCATATGTTGTTAACTTGTTTTTTCATTCTTGTTTTCATTTCAAAT